TAGGGAGTTTTGTACACGTGACCTACAGGCGACAACTGGGAGCTCAGCATCGTGATTGGCTCACAGTTAGACAGGATACAGAGTCGTTCATCATTCAGTCACGTGATCCACATAACCTGGCCACACTTGTTGACTCGAGCAACGGATTCTAAGACGGAATTCTCATTTATCGGGGAAATTTTATATTTTCTCTGAACTACTTGTAGATTGTTGGTAGTGTGAGGAGATTCGGGAATTTTGTGGGGATTTCATCCTGTAAGTGAAACCGATCTATGCTGAAAAACCGGTGAATGTTCACCGAAATCACTCTATCACACCAAGTGGCTACAAAGCAGTCGTGATATTTCAACCCATTCCGCGATTCATTTCTTAAAGGGTTTACTGCGCTACGTCTGTAACAAGTTGCGATTCCGCAGCGAATAACTGACTACCGACGTGCTCATGACAACCACTCATATCGAAGCCTTGTCGCAGCATACGTATGTAGTTCGTCGATTGTGAAACCGATGTGGAACACCCACATCCCCTCCTTTACCTGATCATATTTGTTGTCCTCATCAGTTGTACGTGCAGAGGGCCTCTAGAAGACGCCGTAGATGTGGATGGATACACATTGCTGGCTGATTCCATGAGCACTAGTGTAACGGTGGATACTACTGATGAGACGTGTGAGTAGTATGTGGTTTTCCAGTAACTCCGCCTCGCGTCTAATGGAAGGTGGGGTTTATTACAAAACTTGTGGAATTGCTTCGCAGCATTCGTTTACAATTGCGTGAGGGTCAATGAAAGTTCAAGAAAACACGTGAGGATATTGAATTTTTGCAAACAAGGTGAATATGAAAGGCTTACTTTCCTGTCCGATAGTTTGTAGCTGTTTAGTTGGTGTTTTCAAATAAACGCCTCCACGGCAAAGGAGGTTCCTCCTTCTTACTGATGGTCTGGTTGGAAGTGGATTAAAAGTGCTCAACTAGACGTGTCCGCGTGAGGACCCCAAAACGACGTCCGGTCTCAGGGTCCCCGTCCCAAGAAATGCCAGTTGACAAAGCTGCTGAGTTAGTCGGCAATATCTCACTTTATTCGCTGCGAGGCTGTTAGTTGATCTTCCATAATCTATTCTTACATAGGTGTGCGAAGATGGCCCTCAGAAGAAGCCGATCCTCTGACACAGGGATTACATGATTAAATCAGCGCAAGCCAGCTGGAGTTGTTTTCTTGGTATACCATTCGAACTACTACGGTGCACTTATCGGATGACACCGATGGTGAAGCACTGAATGGTTTCTGGCAACCTTGGGTCACATTGGCTGGGTTTCTGGCCTGTATCAGGAGCAGCTCACAAATGAGGCGAGAAATTACTGGCTAAAAGGCTCATGGTTCGAACCCGTTCACCTAATTTTGACTGGGCTTGTCTACGCTTGGGAATATGGCAGTATCTTGGCTCCCGTGCTTTTTTCGGGTGACGCGCAGTCACATATTAAACGGATCGTGGTTTATCGAAGAATCTTCATCGATTCTGCAAATTCTATTTTAAGCTCCACCTGTTCGGGAACTTGCGTCACCTGNGAAATCATCGGAAGTGTGCACCCCAAGAGTACTGAGCGGAGAGCACCGAAATACTGCGGTGCGCTCCATATTACTATACGGATCAGAAACCTGGCCGCTGAGCGCCGAGGACGGATAAAGACTTTCAGTGGTTGACCATCGATGTCTTCGGAACATTGCCCGAATCTGGTGGGAACACCCGATCAGCAATGCTGAATTTACACAAATGGTATTCGATAGGGCTCTTTTCGCACAACCACGTGAAGGGTGGAAGAGAGCCAGAGGCGGTCACACAATGACTTGGCAGCGAAGTATGAAAGCCATTACCAGTGAACTCAGCTGCGCTGGTCATTGCCGTCTTCCTGGATGGGGACCCCGAGACGGGCCACATCAATGGCTGGAGACGTTGTCAGATATGGCCTAGTCGCGCCCTCAATGGCGCTCGTGCATTCAAGCTATTGCCTTCAATGCATAGCTCCCTTCCCAACCCCCCCGCTTAACAGTCCACATACAGTGTTGTATGTATGCACCAATTTATCAGCTCCTTCCTTCAATGCGCAGCTACCTAAACTATCTCCCCAAATCGTCAATGGACGATTTGAGTGGGTACAACCACTGTACAACAAGTACGCGGTGCTTATAGTCAATGATGATGATGATGATCCACCCATTCGGACCTGTCAGTAAGTGATTCTCTTAGTTCTATAGCGTTGCTAAATGGCTAATCCACGTTGTGCGGAAGGCCAAATGCTTGAACCTGTACTACCACTTCAAGCCGTATTTCAAACCAACGTTTGTTTTGAGTACAATTCTTGTCTATTTTGCTGTCTAGTTGGTGTTCCGGAGAAATGAAAATCTGAAACATCGGAATTTTGTGTGAAGTTTAAGCGAAGGCACACCTCCGAAAAATAACATTATTATACATGAATTTTGGACCAATCCATTGGGATAAGCTTTGTGTGACTTAGGGCACAGTGTGACGTGCTAAAAGCAAACGACAAACTACAAGTGCATTCTGTCATATGTGCTGGTTCGCCAATCTGTTGCATCTGACTCCTGACCCGCTCCAGTGCCTAATGCCGGAAAAAAGACACAGTAGAGAACACAACAGCTATATTCCGAATAAGCGAGTGCGAGAGCGTCAGTGCGTGTGATAGCGAATGCACAATGGTCTCAAATTATTTATTGGAGGGACATTGTCTGAACTTGGTCCAATGCTGACACACGTGGTCCGGCTTTGGTACGAGGCTGACCTTGATCAACGCTGACTCGCTCTGTCTGGGTTTGATACAAGTCTGTGACGCGCTGCATATTGAGGGGACGTTGTCTGTCTGGTCAACATCTAGCGGGGTTGAGAGTCTCAGTAGATTTCGGGCATTCAGTGGTTGCTTTCAAGAATCTGGCCTTCCTGATACATCCCTTTCAATAACCGAAAATCCCAAGCGATTCTTGTGGCTTGAAAACTGGACGTACATTTGTACTCGTAGCATGGAGAGATTGTGAAACTTCTGAGGCATTTTTTACCCCGAATGTGAAATTCATCGACAATAGAGAGCTGAAAATCGGTGATGTGGTGAAATATTGGTAGCTCATGTGGGTTTCTTGGTTGTTGATCAGGTGGCTGTTGACCTGTTCGTCGACCTTGGCAGTTGGCTTGCAAACATTTCGTCATCATACGAGGAGACATCATCAGCGCGCAGTTGTGTGTCTCCCCGTGTCTCCCCGTATGTTGACGAAACGTTTGCAAGCCAACTGCCAAGGTCGACGAACAGGTCAACAGCCACCTGATCAACAACCAAGAAACCCACATGAGCTACCAATATTTCACCACATCACCGATTTTCAGCTCTCTATTGTCGATGAATTTCACATTCGGGGTAAAAAATGCCTCAGAAGTTTCACAATCTCTCCATGCTACGAGTACAAATGTACGTCCAGTTTTCAAGCCACAAGAATCGCTTGGGATTTTCGGTTATTGAAAGGGATGTATCAGGAAGGCCAGATTCTTGAAAGCAACCACTGAATGCCCGAAATCTACTGAGACTCTCAACCCCGCTAGATGTTGACCAGACAGACAACGTCCCCTCAATATGCAGCGCGTCACAGACTTGTATCAAACCCAGACAGAGCGAGTCAGCGTTGATCAAGGTCAGCCTCGTACCAAAGCCGGACCACGTGTGTCAGCATTGGACCAAGTCCAGACAATGTCCCTCCAATAAATAATTTGAGACCATTGTGCATTCGCTATCACACGCACTGACGCTCTCGCACTCGCTTATTCGGAATATAGCTGTTGTGTTCTCTACTGTGGGTCTTTTTTCCGGCATTAGGCCCTGGAGCGGGTCAGGAGTCAGATGCAACAGATTGGCGAACCAGCACATATGACAGAATGCACTTGTAGTTTGTCGTTTGCTTTTAGCACGTCACACTGTGCCCTAAGTCACACAAAGCTTATCCCAATGGATTGGTCCAAAATTCATGTATAATAATGTTATTTTTCGGAGGTGTGCCTTCGCTTAAATTTCACACAAAATTCCGATGTTTCAGATTTTCATTTCTCCGGAACACCAACTAGACAGCAAAATAGACAAGAATTGTACTGAGGCTGTTTCGTCATTCGTACGTATCTCACTCCTATCCAGACAGTTCCCAATTAGCCATCTCCTGATTTTTTGGGTGAAAACCTAAGCGTTCGGTGACGAGCGTCTGATTGATGGTGTAATGGACTCGAACTTTGGTAGAACACGGTGCCATTTTATCAAACCCCGTTGAAAATTTCATTTGGAGAAGCAAGTTGTAATGCATTTTGAGCGACCTTTTCACGAGGACACTGAAGTCTATAAGTAACCGCCTATTTCCAAGAATGAAGGTCCTTCTTCCAGCCACGTGGTACTAATCTAACAACGAATAACGGTTCGGAAGTACGAGAAAGACGAATTTCCAATCGGCATGCGCGACCAGAAGAGATACTGTGTGCGTCATGAAGTTTGGCATTCTGATGATAAAGAAAGAAACGATGTCATGCTACTAAATCACTATTCCCACGGCTGGCTGCAAGTTTTACACCAGTTTATATGTACCATGTACCGATTTAGACATGCTTTCAAGAGTTTTGAGCACGTGGTTTCAGGAATTAGCTTGATGGAGTGGAGTGCGGTGTTTCATGAAGAGTTCTTGTCCCGTCAGCTTTAGTCGGATTGACAACTGTTTGGATGGTTGTATAGGCCATTAGAGTACCGTACAAGTCACGTTGAGTGTAGTCCATCAGAAACCAGCTCTTGAAGTGATCTTAGAAGCAAGAACGACATGTGTTTTGCACATTCCCGTGTGGCAAAACTCCCTTTAAGAGAGGGAGCCCCTTGTGAATGCAGTTGTTCCACGTTAGTTAGAGCTTCTGTTCATTTTTCAGGGATCAAGCGTACAAAAAACATGGAAGAGCCAATATCTGACCAAATTTAATGTCACCGACAAAGTGCAAGAAATCATATGGTCGTTGGTCACCTCCAGGCNAAGTACAAGAAATCATATGGTCGTTGGTCACCTCCAGGCCTAACAACAGGTTCAGTGGGTACGACGATGCTGGTGATTGGATCCAAATGGACTTGGTGAAGAACCGACTTTCAGGTCGAAGAAATTCATTACGTCTTTATTTGGATGAGCGCAGACTGCTCAGAAATTGCATACTCAATCCGATTGATGTTGGTAAACCTGTTCCTCCGGAACCGGATTCATTCTCTTTAACAAGGTGAGTAAAACTCAGTTGTTATCTACAGTAATCCGTCTCAGTAAGAACCACCTGCGTTTTCTGAGAACCATGCCTGGAATAAATGTTTTGTGATCTGGTTCGAAAAATAAAAAAATATTTAGTTTCGTCAGGCTAGTGAAGTGACGTTAAAAAGAAATATGTATCACTGTAACCAAACGAACAAGGAAGATTTCTAATCACTTTTGCCAAAAACAGAGCCTATTGATTTTCTGCGGTAAGCCGTCAGTTGTTTGGCACACAAGATGCTTCTTCTGTTCCCTTTATCACTTTGCTGAGCAATCTTCAGACGACATCGTCTGCTTTTCTGATAGTGCAGGACGATTGGACGGCTTTTTAAGCCCCTCATTGGTTAGTTCAAATGCTGTCCACGGGTGATCACGTGACAGGGCTGAGAGAATCAATGTTATATGAGACTTGGCTGTGGTGGTTGAACCATGGTACCGTAGCTAACGATGATTCCGCCGCTAACGATGATAAGCGGCAGAACGCAACATGGTGACACCTCGGACAAGCCATGAGCCATGTATTTTGAATATCAGAAAGTTCAACTAGGTTGATGATATTTCATACTAGGTTATGCGCCTGAATATTCATAGTGTGCCGGCATATAAATGACGGTTTTAGAAAGCACGTACCTAATCACTGAAAGTACCTGACAGTTGTGAAATGCTATAATAGGTTGATCTAAAAAGCTACTAACTAAATCAGAAAAGTAGCACTCTCGGTCTATGGTCAAATGGCCAGCCAAATGTAGAGTTGATACGAATGGATGATCTGATGCTCACTAAGTGATAAACTTGAATAAGCCCAGACATTCTTGGTAACGTTTCGTGGGGCTCCCAAGTAGGTGAGCGACACCGTGCCGCTTGTCGTCGTCAGAGTTGCGGGAGACGACCGGAGCGTCACTAAACCGCAGTGACCTAAAACATGTTACAGAGTATTTTTCACTGGCAACTTGCGGAATATAGGTTTGCTATCACCTCCAATGCATATCCCCCTTCCAAGTTCCCTCACTTAACAGTCCATTGACAATGCTGTATATGCGCAGAAACTTATCAGATCCCGCCCCAAATAATCGATGGACGAAACTGTGGTAGCTACAACCACTGTACGACAAGTACGCGGTTCTT